GCTTGTTTGTATTGTTTTTGTTTAGACATAATAAATGAAAATTTACAAGAATAAGTGAATGAGCAAATAAATATTTTCACCCCAAATCCACCTCTATTTTTTCTTTTTCTTTTTCTTTCACGCCAGACAACAGGGTCATGACGTCTGAATTGCAAAAATACGAGCTATCCGGCGGACGAATAAAAATACGGAAAATCTTATTTTCTGTGAAGAGAAAATAGCTAAAATAAGTAAAAATACGGAAGGGTTAGCAGCTAGGATGTAGTTTGAATTTTTTGTTTATCTTTGAAAATCGTAAATAAATATGATTATTTTATTTCAACGATTGAATTTTCAAAAAAAAAAAAGCGGGATATTTATTTTTAAAAAAAACGAAACTTTTAGAGAATCCGAGTTTTTGATAAAAAAGGCTGAAATTTGAAAGGCAAAAGCGAAAAAATCTCATCCCTGTATAAAGGTCAACCAGTTTTATCCCAAGGAAATGATTTTTTGAGAAAATTCAGAGGGAGGAATGAGGACTTACATGCTTTCGCTCCGCGAAAAATTAAATTCCTCATAAAATATTTTAACTTGTTCAAAAATCAAAAAAATTTCCGCGGAAATTAGCGGGATAAATAGAAAAATCTAAAAAAAAGCGGAAATCCGCAAATCCGCAGAAGAATCTCATCCCTGTTTATTTCAAATTTGAGAACCTATATATATATTAGAAAAAAAAATTGTATTAAGTGAATATCTATTTTAAATAATTATATACTTAGATTGACATACCTTAAGCATACCATCAAATAACACATTATTTTGAAATATTAAGGAAATTACTTAGGGATATCTAAAATTTAATTCATTATTCTTTTGGCATAAACTATTGAGATACTACAAGAAAAAAAACACACCATCATTTGTAAGTGTTCTATTGTTATCGACAGTAAAATCTCGATTCTTCCAAACATCTTCATTTTCTTCAGGAACTAGAAGCTGGTTACACATTTTGGTATCATACAAAGATTGAAGCAGCAAAATCTAAAAAGCAATATATAGTTTTTAATGTTTTACTTCCTAGATTAAAGCAGAAAAAAGGTACTTGAAAAACATACATACTTGGTTCACTTCTTTACAGATATTAGACACTATTGTTACAACATCATTTAAAACAGATTTGCCTTCAAAAACTTCATCATTTTCCTCTTCCCTCTCTCTGAAATTTTTTTTAAACTATCAGACATATTTTTTACAGCAAATAAATCAGATTTATCAATGTATATTGATAAAAATGTATACAGGTTTTATTCTAAAATACTAGACAGCAATTTTTTGAATATTTTTTTTTAAGTCATAAAATAAACAGATACTAATTTAACTTAGTTTATAAATAATAAATGTTTCTATATAAGATATTCTTGAAAAAGAAAAATAATATATAAAAAATCCATAAGGCATAAATTTACATAAAATTTAGAACCATTTTTTGTGGATGCGTATTTATTTTTAAAAAAACATCTAGAATAAATCTTTAACAAAATTTTAAAAAAACTAAGACTAACAAAGTTATGATTCCACAAGAAATAAAAATGTTTTCCTTTAAAAAATTAATCAAAAATTAATCCTTTCAATATTCAAATTGCTTAATTGTCTTGCAAATTAATGAAAAAAAAGCTTTGATAAAAACAAAATGTAATACAAAACAAAGAAAAGAATCCATTGGAAAGATAACTTATGCAGTAATAAAAACTTGTGCTTTAAAACAATACAAGCTATGAGGATACAATATTTAACAGACCTTTTGTTTGTTCAACATAGCTGGAATAATTTATTTAAAATATTTTGCAAACAATAAGTTAGTCTTTTTTTAATACAAAGTGTTTGAACTCAAAGTTGTTAAACTGTCAAGCAATTTAGGGAAATTCATATATAAATTTCACATAAAAGCATAGGGAAAAGTCAGATATCATATGCGAAAACAGCCATATTTTACCTTCTAAATTTAGTTCAAAGTCCCCAAGTACAGTTTTTCTTAATTAAAAAGAATTCAAAATACATTTCTCTATAATAGATGATATGATATCCTGTCATGTAATGAATAATGGCAAATTTAATTGAAACAATTAAATACAGAAAGAGAAAAATAGTAAAATAGTTTTTAAATTATTTCTAGGTAGCAAATGTCTAGCTAAAACTCATTAACAGTTACTAAATTTAACTGTTTCTGCCCTTGAGTTGGAAGCTTAATTTTCTATGTAATCTGCAGAACTGCATAACAAGCATTATAAAAAATAAGTAAGTAAAATTAAATTTTCGTAAAAAAAGAAAAACAATCATTGTTGAAATAGTAATAAACTATAACAATAAACAATCATAAAAAATTATGAGCTTACAAAAAAATTTTATTTTGAATTAAAAATTATAAAACTAACTTTGATGTAATCCATAATTACAAAAAAATTTGTTGTCTCACATCGAATAAATTTATGTGTGCCAATGTAAATAATTAAGATCCCCATAGGTAATATACATAACAAAATAAATGAATTTGTACAAACCTCATATGGAAATAAATCATAACTTTATCTCTAAAAATCTCCATAATAATCCAAAATTTTGGTAGAACAGAAGGTCTTATACTATAATCTACATTACTGGTCCGATCCCATTCACTGCCATTGTCACTGCTATCACCATCATAACCTAAAATATGCACACGAAGAAAATTTGCTAAATAACACTTATAACAATGTAATAGTAAAAAATAATACAATACAATAGATAGTAAAAATCTTCTTACACGAGTTTTGTGCATTTTTTTACTATATTCTAATCCCTTACAATTTTACACGCACATATATTACAAATGGACAAGTTTGCACTTTTTTTAAAAATCTTTAAAATATGCAAGAAAAGAAAAAAAATTATTCATTCCATAAAACAAATTAAAATAATGTTTAGAGACAAAAACATGACTTTGTGCCTAGCATGACGATTTCAATCAAAAGTGTCTTAAACATAAAATTATTATACAGCTGTATACAGAGTAAAGAATTGAAATTATTTATTAGATTAGGTGAATTATAAAAATATAAATAACAACTATAAAAAATGACAACTACTTAATAAAACAGTGACATTCCTCCCAGAGGAAAACACTTAAACTTCTTTTTATTTAAAAAGTGTACTTTAATCTTTCTAACTTCACTAGATTTTTAAGATTAAAACTATCACCTTAATTTTAATTCCCACAAAAAAGTGTTAAAAACAATAGGTAAAAATTAGATATAAATTAATCACTGAATATATTAAATCGGTTAATTTCTAAACTCTGCCTTTGGAATTGCTACATATAAAATTTATAAGTTACTACCAGCACCTCTATTCAGAAAATTGAAATAAACTTCAATTCGACATTGAAATTGGGTTTAACTTTCTTCAAATGTTTAGACCCAAGAAATAAACATAAGAAACTTTTGACCCAAGAAACAAAGAAAATCACAAACAAATTTTAAAACTTTCTTAAAATGTTCTTTAAAAATCTAGATTTTCAACTACTAAAACTAAGCCTATTTTATCAAAATTTATCAGACTCAAATCAATTGTTCCCATATTAAAAATATCTCAAAAGCTGAAAAATAAATTTATTGTTTACATTTTTTGATTCTGATATGAATTTCAAATTTTCATTGCAATTTTATTAAAAAAATGCTACAATAATACCATAACCTTACCATCTTCAGTGTTACTAGAATGAAATATCTTTTCATCCATTCCTCCTTTTATATCAGGTGTAACAACAGAACCTAATGATTCTGAAGCAGTAGTTGGAGAACTAAAACCAATATTTTTTGCCTTTGGTGTACTACTAAGTTTAGTTTTTATGGTCTAAAAGAAATACAAAAATACACAGTTAATAACATTAAGGGTAGTTAATCATTCTTAACAAAATTAAAAATTCTGAATACAAATATGGCAGCAAATCTATTTTAAGAGTGTTTTATAAAGATTGCTTTTATATATTTTTATAATCCTTATTAAAATTGAAAAAAAAGTATAGTTATTTGAGGCTGCAAATTAATAATTAAGCAAGAAAAAAGCAAAAATGCTTAAAAATCTGACAAATCACAATTAAGGAAGGCAGGTGTATGGAACAAAAATCCTGTTTCATTACAAGTTGAAACATGACGGTATTTCTAATAATAGTCTCTTAACTTCTCTCTGCATTCTTCTAAAATCAAACAAATTTAGGTGCTTCATAATTGTAGTTCACAATTTCACAATTGTAGTTCATTAGATTTTGATAGCGTGTTATTTTACTCAATTAAATATTATTTTTTACATACAAAAAATAAGCACTTCAATACATTTAATTCTTGTAATTAACTTAAAATTATACATTAAATGCAATCTTAGGAGAACATCTTGTACATGCATATAGTATATACTAGAAAGTAATTAAACATTTCTTTAGAAGCAAATAAAGCTGTTTGAACATTTTTAAACAAAAGTAAATGCACTAATAACCTTCCAATAGTTAGTTTTAGTGGTAAATTATCTCATATCTTACTTATATATTATGTGGAAAATTAGCTCAAGTGAAATGGATTTTTAAAAGAATCAATCTGAAAAGTTTCAATTACTTTTTCTATTTGAAATTTTTTTATTTTCAATTAAAATACTCAGATAAAATCAAGGAAGTTAGTAGTATTGTGCGTATTCTAGAAAAAAAATCAAAATTTTTGAAAAAAAGTTTTATTTTCAAATCATATTATCAAATTATAATGAGGTGTGTGTGTCTTGTTAGTCTATTTAAATTGTAGGCCAACGTTGATATAATTTAGAGATTTATCCATAAACCTAATAGTGCACCTACAAGGGATATAAGAAGAAATTTGATCATTAACCCTGAAATCCATAGCAAAATAAAAATGATAAAACATTTTTTACTTCAGACAACAATACATCCGCAACACAAATTAAATGTCTATATTCACCTTTAGCAAACTCAACCAACTCTTTATTATTTGTTATTTCTTTTTCCGCAAAGTTAAAATAGCATCACATGGTGAAATCAAAACTTTAGAAAAAATTTAAAAAAATAAAAAGAGAAAAAAAAATTTCTATCAAATTTTAATGTAACCTCAGTCTATAAAAATTATAGACCAAGGTCAATATAGTTTAGAGAGTTATGCTTAAACCTAATAGCAAGTTACAAGGGATATTTTTATTTTATTTTATAACGGTCGTTGGACAGCCGACCCAATTTTTGAGTTTACGACTACTAATGTTCAACTTCGTAGCCTTGTCATTTTGAACCCAATCCGGAAGACAAGTCAACTCCTGGATCAAGTATTGGGAGAATTTTGCCTTCGTGGAGGACTTTTTGATGGAACTAACCCACATTTGCGTTACATGGAAAGGAAGATCACGAGAACCTCTCACGGTTAGCCTGATGGCAAGGGGACTCTAACCCATGATTCGTCTACCACTGAGAATATTTCACGTCAGCACTGTGGTCAGTTGAATCGTATGCGTAATTCGTATCGACCAGCTATCGCCGGGATCGAACCCCAGTTCACCCCATTAAAAGGCGAATGCTCTATCCCCTGAGCCATCGCCACTCTTACAAGGGATATTGGAAAAAAACTCAATCAGTAACCTTTTACTCTATAATAAAATAAAAATGATAAAACATTCTTTTACCTCAGACAACAATACTTCAGCAACACAAATTGAATGTCTATGTTCCCCTTTATTAGACAGCTCAACCAACTCTTCATCATTTGTTATTTCTCCTTCAGCAGAGTTAAAATAGCGTCCCGGAGCTGTTTGCGGACGCTTAGCTATAGACAGTTTCCTCTCTGTTCTAAGAGTGGGAGTAGATTCAGTTCGCTTAGCAGCATTCATAGAAGAACTTGATTTGCCACAGCCTGAAGATTTTCTTGAATACTTTTTGATTTCGGGGACTTGCTGACCATCATCAGTGTCAGAATCTTCTCTATTTTGGAAATTTTTCACTCTTTTGTCGATTATTAGCTTGTAAATCGCATCACTTTTGGTTCCTTCACTATCATTGTTGTCATCCATCAAATCATCTATTTTTGGATATTGAGAAAAGTAAGAAAAATCCATGTCAGTGAAGACGGGACCATCCCTTATCTTTTCTCCTATCAACTGAAGTTGTGTGGGATCATCAGCTTCTGGATTTTTCATTTTCGTAATCTGATCAGTATCAATCAACACAAGAGGAGGTACTAAGGAATCAAAAGGATTATGCACTTTTCTTGAAAATTCAGAGTCAAGAACAAGGTAAAATTTTCCATCTAGTTCTTTTAATCCAAAACCTGATGGAGAAATTCTTTTGAATGCCTAAAATAAAACAAAATAGGTATTCAGTAAACATATTTCATTTACTAAGTTTATTTGAAAGCTACAATTTTTGATAAATTGATATTAAAATTAAAAAAATTTAAATACATTTAGTGAAATTTTTTTTATTGAGTTTAAAATTCGAAAGAAAGAAATAATATTGATACAGAATTTCAAAATCACAATCACCAGAAAAGTAAAAAATTCCTAATAAGGAAAAATTTAGTCTTTTGTCTTAGTTATTTTAAGTATTTTTAAATTAAGCGTACTAATTGTTATAAAGTCAACATTGAAAATTTAAAACTTAATTTGATCTTTTCAACATTACACTCCAGTTAGAGTTGTTAAATTTTTTCTTTAACAATAGAAGAGTTTAACTCACTGGTGGTTTTGACATTTTCACTATCATTGCTTCCAAATATTCCTACTTTTTTACAGAACTGCGATTCAAGCTAATTACCCCACTCACTGTAATCAGAACACTGCGGTATGAAGAGTCACTAATCTCCTTTTAAATTCTAGATAGGTGGGTGTTTCAGTAAATAAAACCAGTATATTTCAGTACATAAACGTCATTTGCTTTTTCCAAGCGTGGGACCATTTGTAGGTGAATAATGGAGAGAGGTTTTCTATGCGTACGATCTTTTGGGAGAATAAAAAATCATGCCTTTCTCCACACAGAACCGTCCCCGAGTTAATATTTTTCAAGTGTTAACTAAATTTCAGTTTCTTCACCCTTATATTTAAAAAAAATATTTTTTTCACTTTTCAACAAAATTCATCCAATAAAAAATTAACATTATTTATAATTTATTAGAATAGCTTTTTGACATATTTTGGCAGTAAAATAAATTTAAAATTTTTCATAAGTCAATATAATAAATATATAAATATATTTTGTTACATCCAAGCTATTAATATCTAACTGTAAAAATAAAGATTTTCATGCAATATTTTGTTTTATATTTGTAATTGTTAAATATTGGGGGAAAACAAAAAAAAGATTTCTTTGATAGACAGCTAACACAATAGTTTTCAAAAATAAGAAAATATTTCATTTTCTAGGGAATAATTCAAACAATTACATCTAAAGCAATGGAAGTAAGTTGTAAGTTTATGTGTATTAGATGTATACATGCAAGTCTGCACCTCAGTTAGACACTCTAAAATAAGACACATTTTGTTTTTAGAAAATTGCAACTAATTTTTAAATCTTCAGCCAATAAGATATAAGATATGTGATAGATTAGAACAAATATTTCTTATATAATAATGTAATTACATAAAGTTTAAAAAAAACTATTTTTGATGCACTTAAGATTTTGATCATATTTTTTAAAACCTTTGCAGGAAAACATTTAATGTCTTTAATCAAAGTTATTGGATTAGCTTGAAAATGAGATTTAACAGGCTAAGAGTTAGCTGTTCGAACTTAAACTACCAAAAATACAGTTGTCTATGAAAATAAGTACATTATTTTAATTTACAGTTTATGGATATCTGATTTTACATTTGTATGCATAAACCAGAAGTATAAATCAATAACTTTATTTTTGTAACATACTTGGTATTCAAAAAAGTAATTTAAATATAAAAATGGGGCCATAAAAGTATAGCAATCAATAAGTGCTATTAGACATGAGTGAAATGATTATTTGTTTCAGTATGTTGTTCAAATCCTTGTTTTCCCTAAGTAAATAACAAACATATTTTTGAGGTTTGTGAAAAAATTCCTTAAATAGTTTAGAGATGAAAGAAGAGGTCTAACGATAGAACTTACTTGAGAAAATTTTTCCAAACTACTATCAGGTCCATACACAAACATGAGAGGAACTTCTTTAATAAGACAGCACAATTTATCTTTTGAAGACTTTACATGATTGATTACCATACTTAAAATATCACTTGTTATAGGATATGAGCTTAAAGCAACAGATGCTTTTTCATCTTGTAAAAGCCATTTTATCTGTAAAAAGAAAAATAAGATACAAAAACATAAATAAGTAAATTACATGTTTCTAAATTTTGATATCAAATTGGGTTTTCTCTGAAAAAGAGAGGGAAAATACTAAGGTAGAAATAACAAATAAAAGAACCGCTTGTGTCTTGAAATTCGAATAGGTAGGCCCCAAATCATTCAAAATTTTTAATTAGTCTCTTCAAGATGGATGTATGGAAAACAATTTTTTACAAAGGTTAAGCATTGTTGCAATTAAATTGCAGATGATTGTAGCAAACGATCATTATTTTTTACATGTACTAGTTAGAAAATATTTAAAGTTTACAATTTCTTTTTTTATTTTGAACTAGCTTGAACTAGATTTGAGCTAACTCTTAAAAAGGACATGAGTGATGTTGGTTAACTCACAATTTTATTTAATCAAAATTAAGTTACACTAGGAGTTTATTACACAAATCTTTAACAAATAATTTTTCCATAAGTTAACTTCTAATAAAAAAAATATTAATAGGATGTGAAAGAGGTGTTACTAATTAGCATTTTCAAATCCATCTGAAATTATGTGCTTCAGATGGCTATAGAAATACTAATTTGGTAATTTTGAAAACTTTTGTTTTGAAACCATGCATTTTGTTCACAATTACACTTTTGAAACATGTTACTATAAACATAAATAATGTAAAATCAATGGTAGTTGAAATAAGAATAAATTAAGTTCTGTATTTAAGTGCAAACTTAATGAGAATAATGCATTAGTGTGGAAATTTTTCACTAAATGGTTGCAATCCCTGTGGCAAAATCACGGCGACATTGTCCGAGAATATTACAGAGGTCTTGGAGAAAGATTTTTCTTCTGAAAAGGAAAGAAATTTAAGTTTTCTTTTCTACAGAAAGTTACACGCAACATTTGAACCAAGCATTTAGATAATCACTTTTTGACGCACTTAATTTACATCGATAGTATCATAAATCTATGTAATGCTTTGATTTTATTTTCGGCAGTTATTGATATTGATTTTCACCTGGTTTTGTAAATATATCGATATATTTCAAACAATATGAAAAATTCTAATTGTGCATTTGAGTACTTACTTTTTAAGGCAATGATTCTATCGAATTCTTGGCAGTTATTGCTATTGATTTCTAAATAGTTTCCAAGTCTGATATTATTTATACAATATTGCAATTATTTACTATGCATGAGAGTAACCCCTTTTTGAGGAGTCTGATTCACGTGATTTCATCATTGATCTTTTTTTTTTTGACAATGGATTTCATGGTATTTAATTACTTTTTTAATTTTGATGATTATTTAAAAATTGTGAAGAAGGAAATGCGGGAATATCACACATAATATTAGAATAAAAAATTATAGTTTTTTTTGTAAACAAAGCACTTTTGTTAACAAAAGTTGTTAAATTAATTATTTAATAACATATATGTTTGTTACTATTAAAAGTATCTTGCAGAAAGATATTAGCGCTAGGCAGTTTTGTCGCAGATAGCTCGAAAAAATTTTGCAACAAGGGTTGCAGTCAACAAAATTATTTTTGGTGCAAAATAATACTGGATACAGTTAAACTTTATTTTAAAGAGGTGAACTTCTAAAAGCGTGATTTGCTCTATTTTATTCTGTCACTGAAAAGGGCAACAAATAATGAAAGAAAAAAAATCAAATTATTTTAAATTTTATTATGACATCAGTATATGCTATTCAGTTTCATGTATGATAACTCAGTGTTGATAAACATCCATTGATTGAATATTTAATTTTTCATATCCAATATAAAGAACGGGAATTCAGCTTTTTGGAAAATATTTAACAGAATACATTAAAACAAGTCTTAAAACTTTCAATATAGAAATATTAGTAGTATTTATAAATACAATTTTTTTGAAAGTAAATTGAATTGAAATAATAGACACTAATACAGTGGTCGGAAGTAGTGCACTACATGTAGCGCAACTACTAAAGTCGCCACTTTTTCTCGTAGTTTGTAATGTAGTGCGCAATTTTCTTAAAAAAGGAGTGTAGTTAGTAGTATAATGGAAAAAAAAACAATAGTTTGTAGCGATTCTTACTTTTAATGTTAGTTTAGAGAAGAAACATGTTTCTAATGCACAAATTTGATGGATAAAAATCTGTGAGGGTTCCATCAATGGATTCAATGAAAATAACCCTGTGGTTGTGGCTGAGTGTTAACAGAAATTACGTATTTAAAAACAAATATAATTAATATTTATACTACTAGCCATTACGAAAAATAGATAGTCAATTACTTTGGCCATACTTTCACTTGCACATTATCGTTAACACTGATGTTATTCAAAGGAAGAAAATGCATGTCTAATTACTTAATTTCTTAGAGGAAATAAAAGACCATTAAAAAAGTGAAAGTATTTGATAATTTTGAATTTCTTAAATTAAATATTTGCTGTCGAAAAAGGCACAAAAAGTTGAAGGTTACATGAACAAATTTGAAAAAAATGTTTTGGAATAACAAATTGGTTTATGTAAACATGAATAAATATTTTTTAATTATTTCCTCACATTTAATGTAAGCAAATTTCTTATTGAAAACCATTTTGAATATGGAAGTAAATGAAGTTCTCCAGCAAAATTTGTCTCCTTAAAGTAGTGACTACAATTCCAAAGAAAATTTGTAGTCACTACATTAAAAAAGTAGTTGTAGTTAACTACATTTGTAACAAGTAGTTGTAGTTAAACTACAAAAATAATGTAGTTTTTCTGAGCACTGCACTGATATTTACATTAACCTTTTTTTACAAATTATACTTTTAAATTCTACTTAAGGGAGGAAGAAAAAAAAGTAAACAAAAAATATCGAAGAACGTCAAAAATTACAACATTATATGAAAATTTTATATTTACTTTTTCAACACACTTATGTACAGCTTCATGCTGACGTGCAGGTAAACTAGCCAGAGTACTAGCCTGAATAGTGTCAGTTTGAATACTACATGAAAAAATAATAAAAAAAAACATTAAAATTAAATTTAAAAATAAATATTAATACATTAACATATCAAATAAAATCATTAGAAACAGTTTAAACATGAACAAATAAATGTCTTAGCAAAGTTACATACAAAACTAAATTTCCATTAACAATAGAAGATCTTATCAAATTTACAATGACCAATTGATTTTACAACAAGCACGTGAACTAGATTGGTGCCTACTTTGTTTGTTAAATCATCAGATTATAAATATAAACTTTTTTTTTAAATTATAAAATTGGAATAATTATATACACTATTCGTAAGCAAAAAAAGTAATTTTCTTACAGATTAAGAAACTGAAACCAATTTTACGTGTTTCACATATTTAGCCAATGTAAGTTGTAACTTAATGTCTTTTGTGTGCCAACTGTTCCGGAGACACCAAAATAATTTTAAAAAAAGCGGTAAATAACCACAAAGTAAATTTTGCAATAACTTGACTATTTTTGCTAGTTTTTTAAAAGGTATAGCATGAAATAATTACTAAAAAGTGGTGAATTATATAAGCCTACAAATTATTTAGAAATAGTGGTGGATAAAAATCTACTAAAATGAATTTATTAAACCAAGGAACACAATTGATAAACTATCACTTTAGAATATATATTTGCTGTACGGAGTAAGTTAACATCTCTATGTGCGTAGTCCAATTATCTGTGATCCCAACTTCTAAATGTACGAAGAATAATAAATATATAATGTAGATGAGTGGATTTTTAAATTTATAGAAATATATAACATTAACCTTTTGATGCAGATGAGACACTGGATTCCCTTGTATATATATATATATATATATATATATATATATTATGCAGTTCTAATTTTAAGCAAAAATATATTTTGATATTTTTTTTTTAAATATAAAGAACAATCTGTTACTAAAAATTTTTTTTAGATTATTGGAATTATATTTGCACTAAAATATAAAATCCAAAAAATAGTAGTTTGAAAATCATTTTCATTCATATTAAAATTTTATGATTAATTAATTTAGTACATTAAAAGAATTTCAGTGATGAATTACTGTTTCTCTAGGATCTAAATAATTGCAAATATGGAAAATTATTATTTGGAAGAGAGCCAAACTTGAAAGATTTTATCATTAACACAAAAAGGAGATTGGTGCTTCATGCTGTATTTCATAACCAAAAATTATTAAAATGCTAAATTAAAAAAAAAGTATGAAAAATAATAAAAATTCTGCAAAGGGTAAAATAATGAAGTATAGTACAGTAAATATAATATGCATCTAAAACATCAATTACTCTGAGCAGGTGCTTTCCACATCATCTTGAATGGGCTGTTTTGCATATAACTCTGCTTCTGGTATTGGAGAATTACTGCTGTAAGATGTGGAATACACACGATGTCTAGTGGCCTCTGGGTTTTCAATATCATCAGGAACAGTCAAACAAAACATATCTAAAGTAATTCTCATGTCATCCAAGTTTACTTCACTTCTTTCAGGATCTAAACATTTTATTACTTCATCTAATAAAATAAAAAATAATACGATGAATATTTATATTTTAACACTTCATTATAACACAGTTACAGAGAGCTATAATGTTTTTTATTACTTTTTATGCCGAATAATTCCATTTAATATGGTTTTAAAAAAAAGTTCTCAGGAAAATCATTTACATACTAATAATACAATAAATAACATACTAAGACAAGTTGGGAGCGCTGTCAAAGGATAACTTTTCATCTCTTGTTTCGCTATACGAACTGAACATGAAAAGTGCACAAATAAAGGAGGGTAATTTTCGTTTTCTTTAACAGAACAAATTTCTGAATCCTTTTCAAGAGAAGAAACTGATGATTCAGTATGCAAAAAGCTTTGATTGCTATTTAATTCATCCTCACATAAATTGGTATTTTTTTCTGTATCTCCATCACCTGCACAAAAATAGGAACATTTAAAGTCACAACATAACACTTTGAAAAAAATACTAAAACAGCATATAAAGAAAATATAGTTTTAGAAAGAGATAAGTACTAAACATTTACATCAAGAAAATTATCATTTATTCTTACTGCCTAAAATGCTCTTTTATGTATGATATTACATAAATATGTTTAGGTTTTATACAGAATCTTATTATAAAGTTTTCCGTTAGGAACTTGCTGAAAAGATGATTGGCAGTGCAAAGCTAAAAGAAACCTAAATCATTTATTCACTGGTATAGCTAGCAGGGAGAGCGGCAGGGACGCGTGTTGCTGGGTGGAGCCTTAGATGGAAGCTAAAAGCTCGCTTCTGTCTGATATTATATCAACTATAGAAATATATATATATCAGATACGCCAGTGGGTGCAAAAACTGAGTATGCTTTCGGCCATTGTAAATCTCTAAATTTATAGTATAGTGTTATTAAACAGGAAGCAGATTTACTCTGATTGACATATTAGTGAAATAATTGTTCGTTTAAATTAATTCAGGAATTTTCAATTTTATTTTGTCGCTGAAATTTATTTATAAATTTTCTTTGCCATAAACAAGCAAAATGTGAAGCTTAAAGTAGGTTTAGAAGAGTTTAACATTTAAAGATGCAATAAGACTAAAATACTTTAACTATTTAGAATAATTGTTTTTAAAGAATAAATATGATCTTGAAAACAAGGAGATAAATATTTACCTCATTGTTTTCAGCATAATAGCACAAAAAAAATAATGAAGAGGCAAACATTTTCTTAAATTTAAAGACAAAATAAGATATACCAAGAGTTTCTCCATCTGCAGAAGCATCTTTTTCAAATACAATGTCATCCTGACTTTCATTTGCATCATTCAAAGAGTTCTCCTATCCATAACAAAAATATTTTATTTAAAATATCATTATTACTAAAAAGTCACACAATATTATTATTACTAAAAGTACACATGTGTACACTTCTTTACTTCAAATGACTTCTAAACTTTTTCCCTCGGGACTCTTAGTAAATAGAGCATAAACATCTAACTACATAGACATAGATTTATTTATAGATAAAAATGGAGAAAAATAATTATTGCATAATATTTTTTAGAGAATAAAATTAGAAATTCTTTAAAATGAGTCTCAATAAAGATTTCTAGCTAAAGTTCCATCAAAATTATATGATTCCATTTTAGATTGGAGACCCAAGTTAATGAAACCCTAGACAAATAAATCAATCAAACTTACAAAAAATAAACAGGAAGGCTACAAAAAATCAAATTTACAAAAAATAAACAGGAAGGCTACATAAAATCAAACTTACAAAAAATAAACAGGAAAGTTACATAAAAATATGCACTGTTAAAAGACTAGGAAAGAAGTTCGAAATAAGTGTTTTTCAAGAAAATTTAATAATAGATATCAAATGAATTGATTGATCTATTAGCAATGTATTTTTCAAAATGTAATTGTTTCGTGTCAAACTAAAATTAGAAAAAAAAATAAATGATTTATTTAAATGTTTTTATCAGTAAACTGAATCCTACATTTAAACAGCTACTTTTTAAAACTTAAAGATAGTTTATAAGCTTAGGAGGCTATTTTTTTCTATCAAGAATGGATTTTAAGCATAACTCACCTCAAAGAAAAATATCTGAAATAAAAAAAACACTCTATTGACTGAAATTTTCAAAAATACTGAAACAATAAGTATTTTAAGTCTATTGCAAAGAAGAAAATGATAAAAGCTTGTTTTGGGTTTAAAAACACATCTAAATAAAGTATGGCATTGTTAGGAGGGTGAAGTATATCATAATATTTAAATTCCAATATTAAAGAAAATTGCAGAAGTACTTTGATTAAACCATGCCATACTAATCAAACACTACTTTAAAAAAGGAAGAAGATAATATGCTTAAACTTAAATTTCAGTATAAAATTATTATTTTAATAAAAAAAATTTAACTGAATTGTATAAGTTAGCATGTATGATAAACATATATGTATATTCCTTTTGGTTTGTCATAATAATTTAGGATGCATTGAATAAAACTAAAGGTAAAACTTTCTTCGGGTATTAAAAATATTTTATTGCTTTTAAATAAACATAAGATGAAAGTAAAATATTTTGATAAATAAATGCTTTAGTGTGCTTTTATAACTTCTAGCACCATTAAAAGTTTCCTTTTTATTTTAATACAATTTCTTTTTACAGAGATATTTTGAAAACTTTTGAACTTCAAAAAAATTTCAATAATTTTTTTTCTTTAATTCAGTATTACAATGGAGCAAAACATATTTGTCTAATAAAGTTAAAAAAATTCTCAATTTCCAACAATATGTCCATAACTTTAAAATATTAAAATAATTTAAACAAAAACATTATACTCTTCTTAATAATTTCACAATACTTTATGACAATATTAATCCTCATAGTCTTACACTGACTGTTATGCTAAGATATATTAAAATCCTTTTTGTACTAATGCTATTCAGTCTAAAAATAATGCAACCATTTCCAACATGCACAGCTTTAGCATTGAATTCAGTTTACCTCTTCTCGTTATACCATGTCGTTTAAGAAAAAACAAGGCAACTGAGGAATATGTAGCAAAAATATTTTACCGAATTTTTCTTATGATTAACCCTCAGAGAGTAGAAAATTTTACATTTAAATTAAATAATTCTGCGAAACCTCCCAAGAACCACCACTTTCTGCACCACAGTAAAATGGTCATTAATGGAGGTTGGTCATTCTTAGAGGGTAGCTCTATTAATTTCAAAATATAACCGAAGGTACAAGCAGGGTATCTGCTAAATCTAGGGTTTTTAAATCCATGACACTCTATTATTTTTCTACCAAACACTTTCCATGACTTACGCAGGTTAATACTTTTATAACTCAATATGGTCAAAAGAAGGTTGTAATGAGTGCAACTTTCTTCCTGATATTTGATCTTTTTAAGTTACACAAATGCGGATCATGATGTGAGATTTTTCAATCGCAATGTGTATTTTATAAATCATGCAAATACAAATTGAGATGAGTGATTACAAATTCACACAAATACGGATCACAAGGTTTGATAATCACAAACAAGCACGCGAATGCAGATCACGATGTGCTATTTTTAAATCGAGTAAATACAAATCGCGATGCGAGATTTTCAAATCGCCCAACAAGATTAAGGGCTTCCATACTCCAAAACCATGACAAACTGGGAGTTTCCATGATTGTTTAGCATTTATCACTGAAAATCAATGAATTTCCATGACTTTCCAGGTGCACGGATACTCAGTAAATGAGTTTTGCGCAAACAATTTTAATTTTAGTTAGTGTCATTTTCTTAGTGTGGAAATGCTACTTGTGTCAGCATCATGAGAACTGGATCGATGAATAAAATGTAGCGTCAATAAAATTAATCCCTACTGATGTAATTATGAGTAAAAACAAATTTACTAATTATGAATGATTGAACTATTTCGCATAAATAATCAACTATGTTTTTTGTTCATGTTTGCATTTAATTTTATATCATAAAAATTATTTATCTTTAGAAGAGGCTTGTTTGCTTAAAATGTTTATTTTTTAATTTTTTTTTTCTAATTTAACTTTTAACGCTAAAAATAAAGCATTGATAGCAATGTCTTTAGTGCACTCTGACTGCAACATGAGGTTGTAGATCTCCTTTTGAAATCTTCAAAAAGAAATCTCTAAATAAGAGCCTCACACAAATATTATGAAAACATTTTAATCTACTTATTTGTTTCGATAATATTTTCTTTATATATATATTTCTAATTTAACTTTTAACGCTAAAAATAAAGCATTGATAGCAATGTCTTTAGTGCATTCTGACTGCAACGTGAGGTTGTAGATCTCATTTTGAAATCGTCAAAAAGAAATCTCTAAATAAAAGCCTCACACAAATATTATGAAAACATTTTAATCTACGTATTTGTTTCGTTAATATTTTTTATTTTTATATATTTCTAATTTAACTTTTAACGCTAAAAATAAAGCATTGATAGCAATATCTTTAGTGCACTCTGACTGCAACATGAGGTTGTAGATCTCCTTTTGAAATCGTCAAAAAGAAATCTCTAAATAAGAGCCTCACACAAATATTATGAAAACATTTTAATCTACTTATTTGTTTCGTTAATATTTTTTTTATATATATATTTTTTCCCGTTTCCTTATTTGGCCTTTACCGCACTTGCTGCAGAGGTTTGCTCAGTCGCTAGGAGAGATTTTGATGGTCTCTCCTAAATGTTATCTTCAATACAAAGCCTATGGAAAAAATGTTTATGCCTCACAAAAGTGGTCATAAATAGAGGAGGTCACTAAGTAAAAGTAGTCTTTCCTGGAGGTTTCACTGTATAAAGTGTCATGATATTTTTGATGTTTAAAGGTAAAAAAAAACATGCCACCTAATAAAAAATGTACACATTGCATACACACAGAGATAAGTATTTTTTTCCTTTTTAACGAAGTCAAAACAAACAATGACACAGTTATAAAGTTGATGCCTATGCCAGTATACCTTGTTATTGTTAACAAATTTTATTAAATTGGTAGCAATTTCATTACTCACATCTGATTCCTCTTCAACAGGATTGAAGAAATAATAGTCAGGTCTTTGAGGAATTGTTTTGAAGAAACTCATAATGATAGATAAAAATCTTTCTTTTATGCTCAAATGCTTCTGTTGCAAGTTCTCACAAGGTTGATGTTTCTCTAAGACACTGAACGGGAATAGGATATTTTCCAAAGCTCTACAGAAAGAGGAAAAAATCAAACAATGGAAGATAAGCAAATGAAAAAAGTGTGAGTAAAGATTTTGATGTGTTTATAATTAAAACAGATCATTGAAAATACTTTCTTCAGTAACACGCAAATTTAATTATGAGAATAAAAACAAAAAGTTAAAATAATTACGAACACAACATTTCAATACGAACACATTCTATGCACTTTCCTACTAAAATTCTTTTTTAAAAAAATAAATAAATAAAAAAAACTTCTTTGTTTTTCCCTTTTGAGGGAAAAGTCTAATAGTTTTCCCTGTCAGAAGTTTCATTTTTCCCTTTTTATAGCTCCAAATCTCACTGTTTGATATAATAGTTTTAAAGTTATAATAATTTTTAATGAATTTAATCTTACATACTTTGCCAAGAAAAGTTTAAAAAAATGAAGGTAATTAAGGCAATAAAAAATAACGGATTGCAAAAGATCAAATTAAAATGTGTTACATTTGAAATAATTTCAAATTAAATCACAATAAAATAATAGCTACAAACTTTTAAAGTTTGTATTATTTTTTTAGTAATTATAATTTGTATCTCCTTCTTTTATTAAGTTCATATTTTTCCAATGCTGCTAGAACCATTCGGTTAATAAAGACTGTTTTTTAAAGCAAATTCCCCAAAATCTCACTTTCACTTTTATGTAAAAAATTTCTCTAAAAAAAATTTGCAACATATAATGTACCTCTCGGTTTCATTTTGAATATCTTCTGTGGCAACTTCACTTTCTTCACTCATTTTACATTCACTAACAACTTTGTCCTCATAACTTTCTTGAGAAAGTCGCAACTGACGTACACATTGCTTAGCAATGAAATCTTTAACATGGCCACATATCATAAAAACAAACTCAGTAATATCAATTTCTAGCAAAGTTTCTTCACAGATCTCATCAATGGCAGCAATTGCATCATGCTTGTTCACATTTAAACCAGACACCAATGATCTGAAAAAGAAAGTGGTTTAAATAAATATGTACAACAGCAAAAAAGTCTGTCAAAAAACAAAGACTTCATTAATTAATTGCTTTTCTAATTGGAAGTAATATTTACTTTAAGATTGTTTTCACTGTGTTTATTACTGGAACCAGGGTTGGCAAGGTTTAGGACAGAATGAATTGATCCACGGTTTAAACCCTGGTTTAAACCGTCCTGTCCAAAACTGTCCAAAACCCTTTTACTCAAATTATGTTACAATTTTATTTGAACAATATTTAAAAAGTAAAATAAACATAGAACTAATAACATATTGATAATTAAATCTACTAGAGAATATTTGTTTTTAAAAGTATAATGTTTTATTAATATTGTTTGACTCTTCAATTTAAACATTAAACAAAGGAAGATAAATCAGTAATCAAGTTCAATTGGTCCTCTCATTCAATAGTACATAACTGAAGTTTGACCTTGCCATACAAGTTAAGCTATTTCGGACTAAGTGCTTGGTCAGTCATAAACAAGTTTATTTATCTATAGTACTATTCAAGAATACTTTTATTTCATTCATGTTCGATTCTTTTAGCATAGTGGTGATACATCACCAGTGTCAGTAACTGAAACTGATGTTATGCCCTTAAAAACTGTTAATACATTTTTCAGTTATTTTGTATTTCCAATTTAAACTAATATATTTATATTTAAAAACAATTTTTTTTAAAAATAGATATCTTTTTTATCATCCTGTGATGCAGAAATTATAACATTTTTTTAAAAAAATATTGTGAAAAATAAAAGGTTAATTTTTAAACAAATTTATTTATTTATTTTTTTTTTTTAAATTTTTTTCTTAATATTGCATTATTTATCTTTATACAAAAACATTATTTATCAGCATTAAAAGCATATTTATATTTAAAGGATTAGGTATTCACTTTTCTTGTTCAATGAACTGTGGAGCTTCAAAAATTATAAACCTTTTCCTATTATATTATATTATTTTCCTTTAATAAGTTAGAGTAAATTGTATAAAAAATATCAAATATTTATTGATACATGTAATTATTATGTGCACAATGGTTACACCTATAGAATTTTTACCTTTTACCAAAGTTCAAGGTTTTGGCCACTTTAAGACAGTTTTATCCAGTTTAAGACAGTTTTATCCAGTTTAGGACAGTTTTATCCAGTTTAGGACAGTTTAAGACAGTAAAACCTACGTGTCCTGTCCAAAACCAGTTTAGGACGTCCAAAAATGCATTGACCATATCTTAGTTTTAAACGATGTATACATAATAGAAATGTGTAGCATAAATGTAATACATTTTAATCATACATTTAAACCAACTTTAATTTCTAGAATTTTGAGCTGAAACTTCAAAGTTTTATTACGAAAAGAAAGCAAGCATTGTAATTATTATTATTACCCACATTACTGATAAAGTTATAAATACTATTTACATATGAAAAAGAATTTATAAGAACACAATTAAGTAATACATTTTAAATTTATTTAATAGCCAAAAATGATTACACTATCTTTTCCATTTTAGATAAGAATAATGTATAAGAAATCAATTAAATAAAATTGTAGTAGTTAAATTTAAGAAGGGAAAAAAAAGCTTACAATACCTATAAACTCCATAAGCAAATGCCTTTGAAAACGACTTTTCCATAAGAATACAGTGTTCCTTTAAAACTAAGGCTTCCATTGCTTTAATGGATCTTTTATTGCAGTCAGATGATTCAGAGACACGTTTATTGATTGTGTCTGATTGTTCTGAAGAAATACTTGAATGTTTTTTAATACAGCACTCACATTCAAAGAAGCATTGTTCAAAATTATCACTCATGTTCATCTCCAGATCATTGTAAATAAGTTGATTTAGGATGGAGATTGAAGCACAGCTATACACATAGAATGGAATGCAGACAGAATGTTCATATGATGTGCCAGCATCTTGTTGGTGTCCATCTTCTTCCTCTTGCTCAGCTTCTGGAACATCTGATAGTTCATTATCATCTTGCTGATCAAGATTTAAAGAAGCATTCTGTGCATTCAGTGGCTGGTAAAGTTTCTTAATACTTTGGAAATTATGCGGCATTAAAGTAATCAAGATATGAGATGAAGAAGTCCCTTTTATATAGCACTTCCATTGCGGTATATTATCGTAAATTTGGTTAGTCAAGGTTGGTGATTTAGGTTCGGCCGGATCAGGAATGGGACAAAAACAAAACTCACACTCAGTTAAATCAGGAATAAAACCTTGGTTAGGCTTAACTGTTGAGAAGCAGAAGTCTGGGTGTCGAAACGGTACAGGGGGGTTTAAAATTTCATTTCTCTCTCTATGGTGTACTTGAAAGAGTAATGCAAGAGAATCTTCTGCATTGAGCAATATCTCCCTATCATGCACTTTGCGAATGTTACCCAAAAGGAACTCATAAAACACACAGTTAGGATCACTTGCTTCTTCAATCAAAGCATTCTGACCTAGTTATATAAAATGAAAACAATTTCAAACGATCATAAAATACTCTTTTTTTAGAAATTAAAATAATTTTTTTGAACAAAAGATCCTAAATCAAACTAAAAAACCAAAATTTAAAAATAAGCAAATATGGTAATAAAATTCCAATGAACTAATAATTTTTGAAGGTAAAAACTTAAGCATTGAGTAACCATTTATTATGGTAAGTGAAAACTTAGTGATGTAATACTGAATATTATTTACAAGAAATTACACTTAAAACAGCAAGAAAAAAAAACCATTAAAAAAGAAAAATTACCAAAACTTAGTAAATAAAAAGTTACCAAAACTTAGCATTTAATTTAGCTATTTAAATAAAAGGAATTCCACGAATTGAAATCTTGCAAGTTCTGTTATTTTTCCACCATGGGATAATATATTTCTCATAAAAGTAAAATATACAAGCGATTTATAAAATGGCTATCTTTTCAGTTCCAGTTTTTTTCTAAAAAAAGAGTAATTAACACAAACACAATACTACTCACTTACCAAATCTGTGTGGCACAACCTTTAATCCCTACTTTAATACTCAAAATGAGTTTAGGGTTTCATGTGTTGGTTTTCCAGAATGCAAAGTGGTTTTAGTTTATCTGATTCATTTCATAAATAATTTTACTTTGACAGTTGTGAATTGGACATAGAACTAAATATATTGAAAATTTACAGTTAATGATAAACTCCCAAAAATTAAAGAAAAGAAAAAGTTGTGAATCTCACATTTATTATCAAGTGAGAGCAAATTATCCATCAGCAAATTGGAAATCAAAATTAAGGTACTAGATCATATCTCTATATCAAATTAAAGTTGTCCTAAAAACAATGTACACCTAAATTTATTTTATATTCTAAATTTCATAATTTATTTTACATTTGCCTCTAAAATTATTTCAATATTAATATAAGAAGTCTAAAGTCTATAAATTTCGTTTTGAACTGATTCAATTAGTTTATTTGACAGATTCATTTTTCTAGTTTAGAAGACTATGATTTCTAAATTTTGTTAAAAAAAACAGTTGAACAAAACAAGTAAAAAATATTATAAAGGGTAGTCCAAATTAAAAAATGACATGCATAATAGCATCACAAATAAATTGTTGAATGCTTGTACATCGCTATCAAATGTTTGCAGTATATGGCAAGCACTGTTAAGGACAAATAACTGTAGAAAAGGTGCCTGAAAGATGTGCATTAATAGAGGATCTATTAAGACCAATGATATCCAATTATGGTTCACCCTTTTAACATTAATTTCATACCAAGAAGGGTGACACTGATAGCGCCACTTTGATCTTGAGAGTCCACTTTTTACTTGGGCAACCCTTACATATAAAAACTTAAAGCTTACTTGTATGGAGAGAAGAAAAAGTGATTTCAGTCTGGGGACTTTTGGGCAAAAGACTTATGATAGAAAATGCATATGGTATAACATGAGTTCCACTCATATTTGAGTCAGATGGTTTTCCGCTTTTGGCAACAGATTGGACATTAATATGGAAGGAATTATTGCTTTCTGCTGAAACCTCAATAGTATCTGACTTGTTTGTAGTTTTCTTACAAAGGTTGCAAAGATGTTCAAAAGTAGTTAGCACTGTAACAATGTCAATATCTCTGCAGTGAATCTAAAAATTGAGAATTATGTTAAAATATTAAATATAAAAGATGATTAAACATTATATTTAAAAATTTAAAAATCTGAAAAATAATGATGGTAATTTTGTTCCATTTTCAATATTTTTTCAGCTAAATTCAACAATTGGATAAAAAAAAAATTCATCAAATATGTAACAGGGTGCGTAGCCAAATTTTACAACAAAAAATAAGCACCTTTTAAGTACTTTTTAAGCACTAAAAAATATTTTTAAGCACTTTAAAAAGATACTATAACTAGGATATGCGCACTAATAATTTTTTTCCCTCATATTAAGTTCTTCACATATATATGTTAACAAAATGCAAAATAGTTCTTAAGTTACATGACAAAATAACAAGCTCTGACAAAGAATTCTTTTTGTGATTATATTAGCCACCATAAAAACAATTTCACTATTTTCAATACATTCATAAATGAATTATTCAACTTTTTAAATTTATAATAACTTTACACAATTATGCAAAAAAAATTTATTCAAAATTATAAATAATTAATTTAACTGTTATTTAAAAAGATTATCTCTCTTGCAAAATGCAGCAGACTGCTCATGAGAATGGATGAAACCTTCCCACCGAATCCAGCCATCCATCTCAGTTTTCGAATGATTGGGTAGATTGTGGTTGAATGAATTTTGAAAACGTTGAATAGAACAATGTGAAAACCACGCTTTTTGAGTAATTTGAAGCAAAAAATTACACGGTAAAGAAAAAATCACACTTTGGAAAAGGGAAAATCGAGCACTTTTTAAAAAAGGCTAATGAAAAAAGCACCTTTAAGGGCTTTTAAAAAAAGAAAGTAAAAAATAAGCACCTTTAAGCACTTTTTAAAAACGCTACGTACCCTGTGTAAGACTGCTCTAATAGCCCCGGTAATATGGACGTTTTTAATACAGAAAATTAAGTTATTTTTAAAGCACTAGAAATAAATTTAACTCAGTACAAAGACATTAAGTCTAAAATACACAGAATTTTAATTGAAATTGTCTGGACTCTGAATTTTTTTCATACTCGTCTACAGACAAGATCAAAATCAGCAACAGTCACTTAACTTTCAATAATCAAAATAAAAAAATAGTGATTGCCTGCATAAAATACAAAAGAAGAAAAAAACAAGAGTTGAAATTGCTATGAAAACCTTTTTATAAGCCAAGTGAGAAAAGAACCTTCAACTATCGAATTGGTGGTAGACTCAAACTTAGCCCATCTCTTCTCTAAAAGGTACCAGATAGCATTTCTTTCTAATTTTATTTAAAAATCATTCAATTTATATCTGATATAACTTTAAGCAGAGAGTTAAATATATATATATATA